TGATTTGTTTGTATGATTTCAATATTTGGCTTGATGGCAACATCTGGTGGAAATGTTGTGTCAATAGTCCACTTAGAAATCCCCTTACTGATAAAAATGCTGATGTGTCAAATACTTATTTTCCCCGCTGTAGGAAGTGACTAGTAGTAACATGACAACCAGAGACCAAAGAATGGCAATGATATTGGCAACGTCCTAGGTGAACTCACCCAGGAAGTTTGAAGTGGGTCGGTCCTGAGTAAAACTCGAATTCAAGCTACTGACTGACGAATAGGGGTGATAAATATATCAGAGCATTACCTAGACAACAGGGGCCTAGAATGTCCATAAAGACCAGCTATCAGTTACAAAGGAATGTGTGGTGAGTGCTTTCTGTGTGAATGTCTGTTTATATAGTCACTTGCAATATGACAGTAATATATTAAAGTTAACCAACAAAAATATTGATCTGTTTCAAATTAAAAACATAAAGACCTAATTCATTAAGTCTTTTTGCTTCTTGCTATCAGCTAGAATGCTCAGCTCCCCATGCTGTCTGCTTCATTTTCAGCTCCTCCACCCTCTTGATGGTTGTCTGACAAGATAAGATGATAACATGTTACAAGGCAGATACTTAAATCACCCCCAAACTCTTAAGTTTACATTTCATGCATTACTCCAGAGTTTCTAAATTTCTCTTGTAGGGTCCATTTGTTATTTATTGTACGTTATAGTTTTTTTTCAGACCATAAGGTGCATTAAGCGAAACAAAACAGTCAGATAAGTCAAACTTTACTCAACTCATTCTTCTTGCTTCCTCCACTTCCATACCATTGATTCATTAATGTTCATTTCCCTCCCAGCTGCTCTACTCCCATGATCTACTGCGTGACTGATAGCCTTGAATTTAAAATCTGCTTCGTAAGCATGTCTCTTAACAGGTGCCATTTTGGGGTCCTTATACATACACAATACGGTAATATTATGCAGATTACTCTGCGAGGCTCCAGACTACGGTAGCCGCAATGCTCCAACAATCCATCAAGCGGTGCGGCTTCGTAGTTTACCAAAGTCATACTAAAACATTTGTTTGCAGATTTTTGAGCGCCGTGTACCACATACAATCAGTTCGAGGTCAGCAAGTACAACTGGAATTCATACACAAGGCGCACTGGATTATAAGGCACACTGTCGATTTTTGAGAAAATTAAAGGATTTTAAATGCGTCTTATAGTGCCGATTATCAAGCATTTTGAGTCCTACTTGTTTTGACACTTAGTTCTGTCCTTGGTTATAGTCATATAGTCAACAGCCTGAAACATTAGCACAGCATGGCAGCATCCTAATGTTGCCTGTGCCAGTCTGATCCCAGCTGCACACAGATCAAACTTAACTAAGTGTTTATAAACTTATACTTATCAGTTATTTACTAGATTAAAAATGAGCAATGTTTTTTTTAACCCTCCAGGTATCAATAAATGCATTTTTCCCATCTCATTAAGTGAGTAGTGTAGATTCAAATCTAGTAAGTAAGTAATTGCTTAAAGGAGCTTCTAAGATAAGATAAGATAAGATAAAACTTTATTAATCCCTCGGGTGGGTTCCTCTGGGAAATTCGGTTTCCAAAAAGCACAGCACTGACAGAAGTTACAGAATATTATATACACACACACACACACACACATATATAAATACAGAGAAAAAATATAAATAAAATCTTGACATCTTTAAGAGTTCTAAACAAAAGTCTGTCCTTGTGAAGAGAAGTTATAGAAGGCAAAGAAACTCAGACTCAAGATATCTTATACATGTGCACACATGGATGACCCCCCCTCATCGCCCAGATCCATCCTGCAGCAACGTGTGCAGGGCAGATATGAGACAGAGGAAAGACCGCCCAGGGCTTTCAGAGCTTGCTTTATTTATACTTAAAACGAGCTTTCAAGGAAGTAGGAGTGGCAAAAACATTTCCATAAAAGGAGAAAGAGACCGTTAGCTTGCCTGTTGACAACAGGAGGTAGTATGTATAGAAATGCAGACATTCCCATAAAAAGAGAGACTGTTCGCTTGTCAGCTGAAAGAGGAGATAACTTGGTATGTCACCGCATTCCTCTACACATATGGCTTCAATCTCTCTCTCTATGTTGGCTCCAATTCACAACGTCTTCTTCTTTAAATGAAGCTACAACTAAGCA